ATGAGCTGCCAGAGGAAGTGGTGGAGGCTGGTACAATTACAACGTTAAAAAGGCATCTGGATGGGTATATGAATAGGAAGGGTTTAAAGAGATATGGGTCAAATGCTGGCAAAGGGACTAGATTAATTTAGGATATCTGGTCAGCATTGATGAGTTGGACCGAAGGGTCTGTTTCCATGCTGTACAGCTCTATGACTCTATGACCTGTTAATCCCAACTCTCTGTGTTCTGTTAGACAGCCAATCCTGTAATCACACTAATATAACACCACCAAGACCATGAGCTTTAATCTTGTGCACCAAACGTACATATGGCACCTTAACAAATGCCTTTTGTAAATCCAAATGTATTCCATCTACCGGTTGCCTTCATCCACCCTGCTGTTACATCCTCAAAGAGCTTTAATAAATCTGTGAAACACAATTTTCCTTTTAGAAACCCATGTTGTTGCTGCCTCGTTGTATTATGATTCATGTAAATGACTTGCGTCTGCTTCCTTCACAATAGACTCTAACATTTTCCCAATGCCATATCAGGCAAACTAGCCTATAGTTTCTTAATTTCCATCTCCCTTCTTTCTAGAAGATTAATGTAACCATTTTCCAATCCCCTGGGTCTTTCCAGAATTTGGGGAATCTTGGAAGATTACAAACAATTCATCCATACCCTCCACTTCTTTTAAAACCCTAGGATACAGGGCCACGTTCAGGGGATTTTTCAGTCCCGTTAGTTTTCCCAGAAACATTTTTCCTAGTGATATTGACTGTGTTAAGTTCCTGCCTCCCTTTTGTTCCGTTGATTTTTTTCTAATCTTGGGATACTGTTTGTGCCTTACATTGTGAAGACAGATACAAAATACTGGTGCAAAGTCTCTGCTATAACCTTGTTTCCCATTATTAAATCTCAAGGTTTATCCTTTAAGGCACCAATCCTTATTTTCGCTACTATTATTGCTTTTGATATTCTTGTTGATGCTATTATTTCTTTGCTTCACTGTCATTGGGTGAAGAGCCTGGAATTCCCTCACTTACAGACTGTGGATGCACTTGTAGTGGATGGACTGCAGTGATTCAAGAGGGGCAATTAGGAATGAGCAACATCCCATAAATTAATTTCAAACAGGCACAGTCCCAGTTTGGATCTCCTTCTTTAAAGGATTGATCATTTCTGAGGGTGACAGGGCTGGAAGGTGATAGAGTCACATTGCTTTACGGCACAGAAACGGACCCTTTGGTCCAATTCGTTCATGCTGACCAGATATCCTAAATTAATCTAGTCTCATTTTCCAGCATTTGGCCATGTCCCTGTAAATGCCTCCCTATTCATATACCCATCCAGATGCCTTTTAAATGTTGTATTTGTACTAGCCTCTACCACTTCCTCTGACAGTTCATTCGAAACAAACACCATCTTCCTCATCAAAATGTTATCCTTTAGGTCCCTTTTAAATCTTTCCCCTCTCACCTTAAACCAATGCACTCTAGTTTTGGACTCTCCTACGCTGGGAAAAAGAGCTTTTTTGTACCTTCAGATCTATCATTGCTACCAAAAAAGTAAGTTTCTAATTAGGTTGAACCTGAATGCAGATGAGAGGAACAGAATTAAGGAGGGCACAGTGGCTCAGTGGTTAGCATTACTGCCTGACAGCGCCAGGTACCTGAGGTCAATTCCAGCCTTGGGCATCTGTCAGTGTGGAGTTTGCACATTCTCTCCCTGTCTGCATGGGTTTCCTCCGGGTGCTCCATTTTCCTCGCACAGTCCAAAAATGTGCAGGTAAGGTGGATTGGCCATGCTACATTGCCTGTAGTGTCCAGGGATGGGTAGGGGGTGGGTCTGGGTGGGATGCTCTTTAGAGTCAGTGTTGACTTAGTGGGCTGTTTGGCCTGTTTCCACACGGTAGGGATTCTGAGAATTGTTTCTCCCATCCTCAGCATTAAAAGAATGCAGGCGTGAGCTCCCTTCCATCTTTTATCACCATCACTTCCTACATTCACCCCTTCCCTGGCCTCCTTGTCTCCTCACACGGTCCATCATAGATTTTCCCTTCCCTCCCCAGCCCTTCCTTTGTGCTGACATTGGTGGCTGTTTAATCCTTTGTTAACTTTCACACAGTTTTATGCCATGGCAGCTTAATGGAACTGAGGCCCAAACACAACACTGAGGGTTACCTGGAACTTCACCAGACAGATGCAGATACCCGCTTCCCCCTTCCCTTCCATGTCACCCATCAATGAGTGCACCCAAATCTCTACCTCAGGGTTTCTTGTGAACATATTTTCTCACGGAAGGTTGTGAATCAGCTCAGACATGATGGGCCGAAGGACCTGTTCCTGTGCTATACTGATCTTGTTCAGTGAGTCAGTAAATGCAGAATTATAAAGTATTTTTAAGGCAGAGGTGGATAGATTCTTGGTTACCAAGGGGATGAAAGAGTATCGGGGGTTATGAATGAATATAGAGTTGGAGTTAAAAATCAGTTCATCCACAAAATTATTGAATGTAGGAGCAGGCTTGAAGGGCCGAGTGGCCTACTGTTGTTCTTTGCTCGTACATTTGAAGATGTAAGATAAGAACCTGGTTAGTGTTTCTGCAGATCATTCCTTAGTGTGAAGATACAGAAATGTAAATATTTGAACTCAATCTATTATAATGATCAAAGCCTGACATTCAATGTTTATTAAAACCAAGAACTCTGGATGCTAGAAACCTGAAACAAACAAAAACAGAAATTACTGGAGAAACCTGCTGGGCGACCGGAGAGAAGTGTATAAAATGATGAGAAGCATGAATAAGGTGGATAGTTGGAGTCTTTTTTTCCCAGGGTGGAAATGTCAAATACTAAGGTCATGGGTTTAAGATGAGAGGTGGGGGGAGGGGGATGTTTAAAGGAGATGTGCAAGGAAAGGTTTTTACACAGAGGGTAGTAGGTGCCTGGACTACGTTTGCCAGGGAAGGTGGAAGAAGCAGGTCTGACAGCAAAGTTTAAGAGGCATTTAGACAGACACATGAACAGGCAGGGAATAGAGGGATACAGACTACGTGCAGGCAGATGGGATTAGTTTAGAATGGCATCATGGTCAGCACAGATACAGTGAGCTGAAGGGCCTGTTCCTGTGCTGTACTGTTCTATGTTCTTTCTTATTAAACTCAGCAGATCTGGCAGCATTGGTGGAGAGAAAGATAGAGTTACCGTTTCAAGTCCAATGACCCTTCTTCAGAACTAGAACCAGTTCTGAGGAAGAGTCAAAAGACTGGAAACCCTAACACCATTTGAAGTTTATTGGTTGAGTGTCGTATCTTGTTACTATGGTAATTTGATGGATCAGTCAAATACATGGCCTTCTCCAACTGCACATTCTCCAACTAGACTGACCAGGAGAATCACTCCCCGCTACAGAAACGAAGCTGCTATTGGTCCAATGTGGATTCGATTCAGGACAGCATGTGAGAGGCTCATCAGTCCAAACTGATGGCAAACTCCTGGCAGAAGAAAGCAAACCTGAAGTTAAGGAACCATTTTCACCTGATAATAACACATTTTCCTGCAATGGTTTACTGACATGTCCTTGATAACATGATGTGCAAATAGGAAGGCCCAGGTTATCCCAGACCATCATTGCCCAGCCCTCAGGAACTGGTTATCTTTCACAGCAGGATTTGTATCATCATTTGGATTCATCTCACTAGGTTCCTGGTAACTTTCAAAACCAGTAATCCAGCCAGACAAACCAGTAATCCAGCCAGACAAACAATGGATAATTGATCAATGCCTCACACAGAAAGGATACACAACGAACTGGTTAAACTTCATCTCTGTGAAACTTGGGAATCTTACACCATGGTCCTCACCATGTTGTTAACAAGATTCGCTGGATGTAGGCAATAGTACAGTGAGCTTTTCCAGATAATGAATTTATTCATCACTTTAAGATACAATAAAGCTTCCCAACCAGGTTCCTGTGATACACTCTAACGGTTTTTCTCTTTGTTCTTTCAAGGGGTGTGTATGTCATTGGCAAGGCCAGCATTTGTTGCCCATCCCCAATTGCCTTTGAACTGAGAGACTTGCTGGGCCATGACATAGAGCATTCAAGGGTCAAGCATGTTGCTGTGGGACTGAAGTCACAAGTAGGTCAGGCTGGGAAAGGGCAACAGATTTCCTTCCCTTAGAATCATAGAATCCCTACAGTGTGGAAAAGGCTATTCAGCCCATCAAGTCAACACTGACACTCCAAAGAGCATCCCAACCAGACCCACCACCCCTTACCCTATCCCTGCATTTCCCATGAATGATCCACCTCGCCTGCACATCCCTGGATACTATGGGACAATTTAGCATTACCAATCCACCTAACCTGCACATCTTTGGACTGTGGGAGGAAACCTACATAAGTGCAGGGAGAATGTGCAAGCTCACACAGACAGCTGCCTGAGACCAGGCTTGAGCCCAGGTCCCTGGCGCTGTAGGCTAATCACTGAGCCACCATGCTGCCCCAAGCTTTCTGAGCCTGACACGACTTGAACACACAATCTTCTGATCTGGAGTCAAATGCACTACTATTGCATCATAAGCCCATCCCTTAAAGGACATTAGTAAAGTAGCTGGGTTCTTTATACCCAATGATGATAGTTTCATGACCATTGTTACAGAGATTAGCTTTCAATTCCAGACTTGATTCACTGAAGTTAAATTCCACTAGCTACTGTGTGGGATTTGAACCCATGTTCAAAGATTTGCCTGGGTCTGGATTACTCAGCCAGTGACATTACCACATGTGTCTGTCTCCCCACAACCATGGGGTCCACATTTACTGATGGAGCTGATTATGACCTCTATACCCAATTTGTAGTTTTTTGTGACCTGTTTATTAATGATTTTCAAAATCAGTCCGTAAATATAAAACGGTTTCTACTTTCCCAAACCAACGCACTTGTGCTGAAGGTGAACTGGTTAATATTTCCCTGGCCTTCCCCAGATAGCACATGGCAATTAAAATAAATTACCCTAAACAAATGCTATCCTCTTCGAGTTTCACCCCACCAAATACTGCTGTGGAACTCTTTCCCCAACCTATAACATTTCCCCTTTTCCATCTATATCTGCATTCCATTAAATTTCGAATTTCCAAGGGACTGAGAACATAATCCCACATATTAACAGTGGTAATGTCACCAATGAAAGCATCAGATAACATGCCCACAATGCCATCGTGATCTTTACCCAGCAGCAGGGTACCACCAGTTTTAATAACATACCCTTTCTTCAGATAATCGATCCTTCCTGACAGTCCATTAGTCCACATTTCCACAGCTCCTGATTGAGAAGTCCACGTCACACAGTAGTGCACCCATTCATTTGGACTGAAGTGCAATGTCATGTTTACAAAGTGCCCTCCAATCCATAGTCCCCAGTCGAAACCCACAGAGATAACCAGTTCATTGTCACTGTCCTCTGTTGCATACGATAGAATAATTCTCGGCTGGGAGTCTCTTGTCCTGACCCACATGCAGATGGTAAAGGAACTGAGATTCATGTTGCGAAGAGTTTGGATTTCAACGAAACTGGAGAGGCTGTCCTCAGAGAAGTGAAAACTGGGGTGGGAAGACAATTTGCTGCCTTCCAAAATAATTGAAGAAAAAGTGTCATTAGCTATTTTTGCTCACTCCACTTCTCAGGTATCTTTCCTTCTCTGTTATAACAATTATTATTTCTTGGGCTGAGGAATATCAACACTGAAAAATGGAACAATTTCAACACCTTGCTCCTTGTGCCGATATCAAATCAATTAGCTACAGTGTGGAATTCTTTATCACTTGACCTCAAATGGAGAATTAACCTTAATTTCAGAAAAATACTCCCAACTGCATGGGTTTGACGTTTAGCTTCTCTCTCAGCATAAACATACAAGGGCTTTTGCAGTGCAGTGTTAGGGTCCATACCTCTGGACCAGGAGGCCTGAGTTTGAATCCTACCCACTCCATTGTTCTGTAATAATATCCTTGAATGGGTTGATGAAAAATACCGAGCAGGAACCTACCTGTTTACTACCAATTTAGTGCGAAGTATGAACAGTCTCTTTGCCTTCTCAGTTTCTCCATCTGAGTAGTCAATTTTAATTCACATCACAGAAACTTTGGTAACATATATATCCCTTACCTTCAATGGCTGCACATTTACCCTTCATCGACCAAGAGTTTAGGCCTCATTTTCCTGCCCAGAACTCCATCACATCAAATCTCACCAAATTCAGGTTTCTCTTTTATCTCAAAATCTCTGTTCCCGTGGCAGTTTTTTTTCCTTTATTCATTCATGGGATGAGGGCATCACTGGCCAGGCAGCATTTATTGCCCATCCCTAATTGTCCAGAGGGCAGTTAAGAGTCAACCACTTTGCTGTGGGTCTGGAGTCACATGTAGGCCAGACCAGGTAAGGATGGCAGTTTCCTTCCCTAAAGGACATTCGTGACCCAGATGGATTTTTCCAACAAGCGACAATGGCTTCATTGTCACCATTAGACTCTTAATTCCAGATATTTATTAAATTCAAATCCCACCATCTGCCATGGCAGTTCACTTCTAAGCAATAAGTACAAGAGACGTAGATTTTCATCTCATACCCTGGGCAGGGAAGGGGAAGATCCCTTTATAGATCCAGACTGATTTTTATTCTATTCATTTTAAAAGATTACAGCCATAAGACTATAAGATGTAGGAGCGAAAATAGGCCATTCAGCCCACTGATCTGCTGTGCCAGTCATTGAGATCATGGTTGAAGTGATATTCCTCAACTGCATTTTCCTGCCTTTTCCTTTCATTCCTTTACTGTTTGAAAATCTGTGTTAGCCTTTAATATACTTAATGACCCGGCCTCAACAGTCCTCTGCAGTAAAGAATTTCATACATCACTTCCCTCTGAAAAAAGAAATTCCTCCTCATCGCTGTCTTAAATGAGTGACCTCTTGCTCCCAGATTATGGACTCTGGAGTTGCCCAACAGAACTGATACCCTCTGAAAGAGAGAAATTCATCAATATTTGACAAAACATAAACCAGTCTTTCCCTCTCAAATATAGATTGACAGCAATCATTGGGCTTTGACTTCTCAAGTAACAGAAGATTTGGGTTTCACCAAATGCAGTGCAGACAATCTGTGGCACTAAGAATGAGATCATGGCTGATCTGTGGCCTACCTGCCTTTGGTCCATATCCCTTAGTAACTTTACTTAACAAAAAGCTATCTATTTCAGATTTAAAATTACCAATTCCCCTTTCCAATGGACTCTGATCTTTGACTCTCCCATCAAGGGAAAACAATCTTTCTGCAGTTCCCATGTTGAAGTCCCTAAGAATCTTGTATGTTTCAATAAGGTCTCCTCTCATTCTTCTAAACTCCACTGAGTACAGACCAGCTCAAACTCTCCACATAAGGACATCCCTCCATCCTCAGAGTCAGCCTGGTGAACCTTCTCGGTCTGCAATGCCAGTTTTATCTTTCCTTAGATCAGGGGACCAAAAGTGTTCACAGTATTCCAGATGCAATCTGACAACTGCCTTGTACAGATCAAAACCTCATGTCCCTTCTACTGTGACAGACTTTGCCAGATACCGCTCAAACAGTGAAGATGAAAATTTAACCCTCTCACCTACATTCTCAGCCTCCTGTTTGCATTCTATCTTGAAAGCAAGTCTCTTGCGCCTTACTCTGACTTTAGGTGATATAATGTGTGAGCAATATCACTGCCGTTATCCCCATCTCTCCGCATTTTCAGTCCCAATTACATTAACAGAAATGAAAATGAGGAGCAGTGTATAACCAGCAGCTGATCGATATCATTTATTTTACATTGACCCTCCCACATCCATTTTACTCCCTCCTTGTTTAACTAAATTTCCTACAATCCTTTGATTCAGTCCTTGCTTTGTCCTTTTGATCATCAGGTATTTAAGAACCAAGTTTGGACAACCATTACTTCCCCAACTCATTTCTTCAGCCCAAATCTTCACTTTTTATGGTGTCTGTTGTTTCTAGCCTTCATGGCCCATCCCCCATATTTCAATCATGGCTAGATCTTGAAGGACTGTGCAATAATTTTCCAGCAAGTACTCGACATTAAATCTGAACTCCAAAAGGTATTAACGCTAATATCTAATGCCAGACTATGTGCACTGCAATTGGTGAAATCCAAATCTACTGTTGGCTAAGAAGCCAAAGCCCAATGATAGCTGTTAATCTACATTTGAGAGGGAAAGACTGGTTAACGTTTTGCCAAATATTAATAAATTTCTCTCTTTCGGAGGGTAACTCGATTGCTGTGCGATTCCAGAAAATTTCGCATTGATTGCCAATGGACAGCCTTTTCTTTATACCTTGGCTTGCTTTTCTAGCTAGGAACAAGGAACAGGAGTAGGCCATTCAGCCCCTCCAGCCTGTTCCATCTTTGAATGAATTCACAGTTGACCTTGAATGCAGAGGGTGGTGCGTGTGTGGAATGAGCTGCCAGAGGAAGTGGTGGAGGCTGGTACAATTACAACATGTAAAAGGCATCTGGATGGGTATATGAATAGGAAGGGTTTAAAGGGATATAGACCAAATGCTGGCAAATGGGATTAGATTAATTTAGGATATCTGGTTGGCACGGACGAGTTGGACTGAAGGGTCTGTTTCCAAGCCGTATAGCTCTATGACTGTATGAGATTATGGCTGATCTGTTGCCTAACCCCACGTATCTGTCTTTGGCCCATATCCTTTAGTAACTTTGGTTAATTAAAGGTTATCTATTTCAGATTTAAAATTAACAATTCCCCTTTCCAATTTGGGTTAAATCCCAAAGGGAGCAAGTATTCAAGAACTTGAACTGTAGCTGATACTAAACTGATATGAAATGAGAGTTGGTCCTTACCACATAGAGACCCAGGCCACTTTAACACAAGGCTCTTGTCTCCAAGCCCCCACCATCAATGGATTTAGCCAAGAGGTGGCAACTGGTTGACGGGAGGGTGGGGAATGGGCTTGCATTCCTGGACAGCAAGGTGCAATTGGCTGGGACAGAAGGAAAGATGTCCAGCGCTCAGTGAAAACACTAGGAAATGGTTATCAGAGAATCTTGTGATGAGAAAGGGGAGGGAAACTGGGTCAAGAGAAGCCTAAATTGTCCTAATAGGATCCTTTTCCTACTCTTATAGCTGCAGGCAAGTCCATCCAGAATTCATAGAGTCATAGAGTCAAATAGCATAGAAACAGCCCTTTGGCCCACAATGTCCATGTAGGCCAACGAACACCAAACTACACTAATCCCATTTACCTGCTCTTTGTCTGTAGCCTGGTATTTTATGTCCTGGCACTTTATATGCTCATCCAGGCACTTCTTAAATGTTGTGAGAGAATAGCCTCCACCGCCCTCCACAACACATTTCATATTTCTACCAAACTCTGGGTGAAGAAAGTGTTTCATGAAAGTTTTATGTTTGAAAATCCTGTTGCCCTGAGTCTTTTCTCAGTTGGGCTCCACCCCAGTGATAAACCATGGCAGCTTCCCCATTTCCCCACAGAAAACCTTATAGCATTTAAGAAGTATTTAGATGTCCACTTGCAATGCCAAAGCACACAAGGCTTTGGGCCAAGTGCTGGAAAATGGGATTGGAATAGCCAGGGACTTATTTATGACTGGATCTGACTCCTTGGTCTGAAGGGCCTTCTTCCATAATGTAGGCCTCTATGTAGCCTCTTTTCGGGGAAAGCCCACCATATTGAATGCCACTGGGGCCTCTGACTGTTCATTGGCAGGCCTTGAATCAAGAACCAATCCCCTTCCCCCAGTGGGGGGAGTAGGGGGGGTAGTGAAAGGGTGGCCAACCCAAACATTGCTGGCAGATTGGCAACTCTAATGAAGGGCAGCCCCACTGAGAAGTGCCATGTACCTGAGGCCTAGTGTATCTGCTGTATCCCACCCCAGCGGGAAAATCCGGTTAAATGGTACGTACTGGAGCAACTCGTCAAATCTGTCCACTTCAAAATAGAGGAAGTCAGTTCCAGTTTGCTCATTTCCAACCATGACAGGTTTTAGCCCAGGCCACAGGGTCAGTGAAGGCTGATAGGCAGGTGGTCCATGGAGTGGGGGTCATGGGGAAGACAGGGGGCAGCAACAAGGGCTGTTGAGAAGGCCACTTACCAGCATTCCCCCTTTCTCAACATCCGATCCCTCAACTGGCACCAGGATCCCCCGCTCACACACTCCAGAACCCACAAGTGACTCCGGACAGGATAGTTTGTGGCTTTCCCAACATGGTGAGACCCCTTCCCTGCCCCCATCCACTGCTGGGTTGGCATCACCAGGAGCAGTAGCATGTTGAGACCCTTAAACACCCACTTAATAACTCAGCTGGTGGGAAGGCTACTCATAAAGCACACCACCCTGGACTTAATCAGGGCTGGCAGCTAGATAGGGGACTCCACTCAGCAGCCTTCTACCTGATTAAATACCCCCTATCCACATTTGCCGCTGAGGACATCATTAGATTCTGCTCTGAGTCAAATTCTCGTGGAACCCTGTATCATTTCCAATGGCCCCAGTGGACCTCCCTCCATTTTGAAGTACACAAGGGGTGTCGGAGAGGGCACTTGTGGCACAGTGGGTAGTGTCCTTACCTCTGAGCAAGGAGGCCTGTGTTCAAGTCACATCTGCTCCAGAGGTGTGTTATTACATCGCTGAACTGGTTGATTAAAAATACCTCCCAGAGGGGTCAGACGAGTATATGCCATTTGCCTGCTATGCTGAAAGAGAATTCCAGCTTATTTACCCATGTTTCAGAGATTTTCATCCTTTGTGATTATTAGCTGGAGCAATGATGACAGCAGGTTGCCCAAATTAGGTCTGAATTCCTCTGCATTTCGAAGATTTCCTGGGGCTGACCCACTTGAGATATGTAAGATGCTTAAAGAAGTTGCTGGACTAGCAAGAGATAAACTCTATACCTTAGTGCAGGAGAGACACAATAAGGTTCTAAAATCTTAAAACTATCACTCAATCTGGTGTCAGGAAGCATTTCTTCACACTTAAGGTCTTGGGAATCTGGAATCTGCTTTCCCAAAAGAAAACTATTAAGCCTAGGTGAATTGAAAATTCACAATGGGATTTGGTAGATATTTGTTAAACAAGGGTATCAAACGTTACAGGCAAAACAGGTAGATCGGGTTAAAGCGCATATCAGCCAATTTCTAACTGAATGTCAGAACAGGCTCCTGGCGCTGTATGGTCCACTCCTTTTCCAGGTCTGGCACTTGCTGTAAAATCTCTCTCCAGGCAATCCTTATCAGCTTCAGGTGACCAGCTGTATCATGGCAATGATGGAAACCCATCAGCAAGGGTATGCCCCTTTAATGGGGAATGCAGTGCATAGAACAGAGAGAAACCAGGGAAGCAGAAACCCAGGGACAGATTGACGATTAACTGAATGACCCAGTGAAAAGATTCTGCAGAAGCTACAGGAAGAGGAAGGTTGTTTAATGCTTCACTGCCATCTTCAGGAGTAAATGAGAAACATCTTCACAGTGCATACTTTAACAGCAGCTTCAGAAATCAGCCCTATACCTTTCAGCACAGTCTGTGAGTTCACTAAAGAACAACACCAACAACATATAGTTCTATGTAGCACCAAGGGGGTGGGGGTTCAGTTAGCTCAGATGGCTGTTTTGTGATATAGAGTGATGCCAATAGCATGGGTTCAATTCACATCACCAGCTGAGGTTACCACGAAAGACTGCCCTTCTCAATCTCTTGCCTCGCTGAGGCGTGGTGACCCTCAGGTTAAAACACCACTTGTCATGTCTCTCTCTAACGAGAGAGCAGCTGTATGGTAATTTTACATTTACATAGCACCTTTTCTAAATAGTAAAGTCACCATTGTCTTACCAGACCATAAGGCCTTGAAAAACAAGGTTGTCAGATTCTTAGGAACACCACCGCCTTAAAGCTCTGCTCTGAGCCATTCACCATCCTGACTTGGAATCTGTACTTTGGCGTTTGGTCAAAATCCTAGAACTCCCTTCCCCGCAGCCCCAAGAAATGTCCCTACTCCACCATGGATAACAACATCATCTCCTTCTCCAGGTCAATTAGGCAATAATTATTAGCTAACCAGAGAGACCTTCGTCCCATGATTGAATAAACAAAATATAAAGGGTCTGAATGTATCTTAAGTCCTATCACTCACCTGGAAACATAGCAAATAGGAATAGGAGCAGGCCATTCAGCCCTTGAGCTTTCTCTGTCATTCATTATGATCATGGCTGATCATCCAACTCAGTCCCCTGTTCCTGCTTTCTCTCCACTACCTTTTAAACCTAAGAACTATATCTATCTCCTTTTTGAAAAATTCAGTGTTTTGGCCTCAACTGTTTTCTGTGGCAGGGAATTCCACAGGCCCACTGCTCTCTGGGTGAACAAATTTCTCCTCAAATTAGTTAGAAATTATAATTACAATTTCATTATTCTGAGTGCAGTAAGAATTATCGTTTACTCTAAGCAGGGTAACTCTAGAACATGTTTTGTTGCATTTCTTTCTCCTGACAGTAATGACAAATCACATGCCTTGATTACTCACCTGTATATCTTGATTCTGCATTTGCATCAACATTGTTCAGAATCGCTTCAATTTTGTCCAATTTCTCATGAATTGTTTCAAGATGGCAGGAACCTGCTGAAGAAAATGAATATGACTAAAGAATCACTTAAGTCCACGAGTGGTTGAAAACTTAGTATTTTTGAGTGAAGAACAATTATTATGGCACCTTTCATCACAGCAGGTTGAAAAGAGGCTTCTACGATTCTGTCATTGATGGCCTGTGCGCGTCGATAATCATTCTTCAAAGTTTTGTTTTCCCAATCCAGCACAGAAGTTTCTAATAACCTGATCTGCAGAAAGACATCAACATTTTGTTTTTAAAAGGGGGAAAACCAAGATTTATACAGTATGAGAGCTGAGTATTGATTAGTTGCCAAGTAGGCTCTGATAGGACTATAAGGTATAAGAGCAGAATTAGGCCATTATGTACATCGCATCTTCTCTGCTATTCAATCATGGCTGATATGTTTCTCAATCCCATTGTCCTGCCTTCTCCCTGTATCCTTTGATCCTCTTACCAATCAAGAACCTATCTAACTTTATCTTAAATGCACTCAATGACTTGAACTCTACAGCCCTCTGTGGTATCTTCCAGATGAGGCATTAAACTGAGAATAACAAAACAGAAAACTGCAGATGCTGGAAGTCTGAAACAAATAAAAATAGAAATTGCTGGAGAAACTCATCACGTCTGGCAGCATCTGTGGAGAGAGAAACAAATTTCACGTTTTGAACCCAGTGACAATGTTCTGAGGAAGGGTCACTGGACTCGAAACTTTAACTCTGTTTCTCTCTGCAGAGTTTCTCCAGCAATTTCTGCTCCGTTTGTTACTAAACCAAGGCTTCATTTGCCTGCCTGGCAAATTCAATACCACCATTTCAAAGAAGAGGAAGAAAATTATCCTCGGTGTGCTGGCTAATATTTATCCCTCAATCATCTTGGCAAAAATAGATTATATCGTCATTATCATATTGCTGTTTATGGGAGCTCATTGTCAGGATTCATGCATTACTTCACTTATCTCAAGGCACTTCAAGACAATCATGAAAGCTGGCATAAAAATGCAAGGTTTCCTCTCTTGCATTAACTTGTGGTTGTCCCTTAAATATTCTGAGAACAAATTTGGTTTCTAGCGATGCTGCAGGATTCTTGTATCTCAGCAGCACCACCAGCAGGAATATAATGATACTGCATGTACTTGTCACAATTTTAAAAGTCCTAATAAAACTGGCATTACAGTGTGTGCTACATGTCTGGTGCTCAGAGATAATTGTATGTCAACTTTTAGGATACTATAATGCAGCCTAACCTTACCCGGTCTGACCTACAGTACTGTTGACTCTTGACTGAGTTCTGAAGAAGGACCCAAGACGTTAACTCTGTTTCTCTCTCCACAGATGCTGCCAGACCTACTGAGTTTCTCCAGCAATTTCTGCTTTTGTTGATGACTCTAACTCAAGTGACCTATTAAGCCACTTGGTGTCAAGGGCAATTAAGGATGGGCAACAAATGGTAGCACATCCTATGGAAGAATTAAGAAAATAAAAGAAAATCTGCATTGCTTTCAGACTGGGGCACATTTTAACCAGTACTTGAGAAGCTGACTGATTCACCATGCTCGGGTTTTTGCAAGGTTTTCAAACATGAGGAGTGTGAGAGGCAGGTCTTGACTATGTCCTCACCCAAAAACTAAACCCATACATTTTCAAGGAGCCTCACCACTGAAAGGTGAACAAATTGCAGCATTTTGTCAGAAATTGTGGTCTCTTTAAAACTGAGTTTTTCCAGAATTTCCTGCATAGCATAAGACTTCACATGATGGCTATTACAGCAGATACTTCCTTTTCCCAAACGTACAGAATTTCTAATAAATAAGGATAATGCAAAGGTGACAATGAATACCACTGAGGCTGCTGTGTTCGATACGCTGACATCAGATTGTTATCTGGCACCATGCATATGCCATTAACAATACCGTGTTTGGGAAAATAAAAGCTTTGTTCCCAGAATACATGAAAACTAACTTTCACATGAAGGTGGGCAAGGGGATGACCGCAATTTTGACATTATGAGGAGCTGCCCATGCTCATTGGCTGGAAAAATTGGGACAAGTGGTTAACATAGTGTCAATTACCAGCCTTAAAAATGGGGCCTATCGACAAGTATTCAGAGTCAGGGGCATTCCACACCGACAGTGGGGCTGTCCTCACTGGAGGAGCAATCCTCAGTGAGGAGCAGTCGTCTTCAGGTAGCTTCCTTCTTCAAATGGAAGAACAGAACAGATTGAGTGAAGAGCCAGGAAGAGATGCCTATTACCTTGGCTGATGAGATCAACACACTCCATGCCAAACGTCTGCTCATCTTCTGGTATCAGTGACCCTCCTCAATTGTGAAGGGTTTTACACTTTCCTATACTCCCAGTTTCGAAACGGCAGGTGAGCCCCAGGTGGATACAGGAAGTGCTTCAGTGATACCCTCAAGGCTTCACTGACAAAGTGCGACATTCCCACAGACACCTGGGAATCACTGGTCCAAGACCGTCCAAAGTGGAGGAGGAGCATTTGAGAAGGTGTCGAAAACCTTGAGACTTGCTGTTGGGAAAAAGTGGATGACAGACAAACACAGCAAAAGGAGTGCACTGCCACACCAACACCCCACTCATCCATTACCATGACCACCACCTGCCCATGTATAACAAAGCCTGCAGTAGTCATATCGATTTGGACAGAGACTCTACAAACTCACCCTGAGAGTGGAAGAGAATCATCCTCATCCACAAGGGACCACCAATGAAGATAATTTTCGAATTTAATTCACTAATGTATTATCTCCAAACTGCCTTTTCATAATAAATAATCTGAAACTTCCTTACTGCCTATATTGGGTAACTGTTTTCCCGAACTCCCAAATAATAATGAGATCCTGTCAATATAATCTCAGAAGAAGAAGTCTTTTCACATTAAATCTGACATCCTGGTAATGTCAATTTACGTCTTCTATTCCAGGGCTGTGGAATAGGGTGAGCTATAAAGTAAGGGTCATGTTGGATAAAATGATACGGTTCATTCGGAACTTCCTATTTTTATCCACTTTACTTGTACATCTGTGCTGCAATGAAAGAAAGTACATGTTTCTAACGGGTCCAAGCTCTTCTTGTTGATTTAGGCAAGATAAGGAGAGGAGAATCTCCTAAAGGAAAGTGCATCTTTGAAACTCTCAAGCTCAAACGGCAGTGAAAGCGAAGTACCCAACAATATCCAGGGCAGAAGTGGGTATATTCATGTTGGAGTGAGGGGTGAGTGGTTAAGAGGGGTAGGCAGGAATATCAACTACAGACACTCCTTATTGCAAATGGGTTCCATCCTTGAGTGTGTTCACAAATCGATTTGTACACAAATTGGAACACAGTGCAGGCTAATGTAAAACAGTCATTCAGGAAATGCTTGTATGTTGGATGTTAAAAATTACACCCCTGTACAGGACAGTGCTTCTAAGTATGTGCGTCGGTAAGTCAGGCATTCATAAATCAGACACCTTCTGTAATTGGATCAGCTATGATCTTATTGAATGGCAGAGCAGGCTCAATCTTATTGAATGTCTTAAGAAGCTGATCCTCCTGTTCCTTATTCACATGTTCATATCAAAACGATTTTGCACATTAATGCATTATTATTTCACACATATTTCACACATAGCGTGGTGGCCGTGTGTGCTGGTCAGGAGGAAGAAGGTCGAGCCTTTGGCATCTGCAATTCAGAAATGCAGTGAAATCCCAACCACAGTCAGGTCATCAGACAAACACGTGACTCCATTGGCTGCTCACTCACTCCGCTTAATGAGCTACGTTGACAAATGCATAGCTGCTTGTCCACTGCAAAATTCTATCTAGCCTTTTATGTGTCAGTGGAGTCTATAAAGGATAAAGAAAATGTACATCTTTAAATCTCCCTCCTTCTGTAAAATGATTTGGGGCAGCCTCAGAGCACTATATAAAAGCGAGCCATTATTTTCTCTCACTTTCATTTACCCATCCCTAATGTTCTTCTCCTGTACCAAATCACTGACTTGTACTTGGTAACAATGAGCTCTAGCTCATTCACTCTACAATGTGCTCCTCGATAAAATCAGCAGCCTCTTTGCATGGGGTGCACTTCACAGCTAAAACTCAATCCCTCTTCACCTGACGCCCAACCTTGCATAACATCCAGCAGGGCTCCCTGAATAGCAACCAGGAGTGAGAATCTTGCTGAGTTCTCCTTTTCTAATCCTGGAACTGCTTGAGCTGCTCCTAGCTGAGACTGGCTGATTAGCTCTGACGTGGAAACTCTCCCAATTTATACAGTGAACTACCTCATTGGATTCTTCACTGAGACGCACAAGATTATAGACAAGGGTAGACACAAAGAGGTTGTATCCACTGGATGAAGCATCTAGAACACAGGGCATGGTCTCAGGATAAAGGATCAATCCTTCAGGAATCCAATATTGGGGAATTTCTTCAGGGTACTCTGATTCTTTTGGAATTCTCCACCCCAGAGGATTGGGAATGTTCTGTCATGAAGTAGATTTAAGGTTGAGATAGAAAGATCTTTATTTTGTCAGGAATAGGGAGGGAGGTAGGATAATGGAGTTGAATAAAAGATCAGCCATGATTGAAACAACTCCACAAAGGCCAGGATCCTGTCATTTAAGTCACCCTTTATTTACACGTGGAGAGTCCTTGACACTGATCTAGCTCTCTCAGAGCCAGCTCTCAGAGTGAGCAGAATCTCTGACACTCCTGTTCTTATCTGTCAGCCAGGGCTCCCTGATTGGACCCTGATTAACAGTCCCAATCAGGGAACACATATTCTATGACATCCACCTTGCTGACCTCATTACACTCACTACAATGATCATATTGAATGGTACTCCAGACTAAAGGCCTACTTTATGTTCCTATTTCTCATATTCTTCTGCTCTTACATTGGGAGAGTAACAAGTCTCCCCTTTAAAACAAACCTTGCCTTGCTAAAAGAAAAGGTTAAATATTGCGAAGACCAATCTTGCTTTGTTCTTGGGGCTTAAAGTGTGTAGATGTTGGTGTTGGCCTGGGCTGAACAAAGTCAGAAGTCAGGACCTCACCTGATGAAGGAGCAGCGCTCTGAAAGCTTGTGATTTTAAATAAACTTGTTGGACTATAACCTGGTATCATGTGACTTTTGACTTGGGGTTTAAGATCACAGCAGCATGACGCATCCATTATCATTCATACAATCTTAGACAAATCTAAAAGGCAGTGGGTCAAATTTACCTGATTGGATGAGAGCACAATTGTTGTGTCAAAAATGGTCCAGATTATTGTCTCAAAACAAGGTGGAGTTGTTAAAGACCCTCTGTACCTATAGAAGTTTGAGAGGTTATGGGGCAGCATGTTCCTAATGTCTATTGGCTGTATTTTTGTGAATTGCCCTGAAATTGAACAGAAAAACATACAGCATCACTAGTCATATGGAATGTAAACGCTGCAAAACATGAAGTCAAACAATACAGGTTGCTTATGATTTGCTTGCAAAGGCTGCCTCAGGTGACTATCCACCCCAAACCGTCTAACTAAACACCCACATCCCTCAAAGTGAACCTCCAGAAATAAAAGGTAGGTACCCAAATGCTTTGATTTTCCATCTAGAGTAAAATTAAGCCGATAGGCAACATTAAAAGGAAATCTATTTAGACTGTGTGAAAGAAATTCTCGCACATTTTCTTCTTTTCATTAATGATACAATTTGACAGATAATGGCCTGAAAAATGCCTTTATTTCTGGAAGGGCAATATTTCATATTAGTGTTTAAATTAGTTGCATCTAATTGCCTGTTGCAATGATTTTCAATATAATCATCGAACCATGCAGTACAGAAGAGACCGTTCAGTCCATCAAATCTGTACTGCCAAAAAGACATTACTACCTGCACTAGTCCCACTTTCCTGCCCTGGGCCAGAATGTTATGATACTTCAAATGCTTATTCAAGTACTTTTTAAAGATTGTGAGGTTTACCATTTCAACTATCCTCCCCGCAGTTCATTCCAAATCCATACCAGCCTCTAGGTGCAAAACTTTTTCCTCAAATCCCCTCCAAACCTCCTGCATTTTGCTTCAAAATCACATCCCCTTGTTCTTAATCCTTGAACTAAGGGGAACAGGTGCTTTCTATTCACCTAGTCCACGCCCTTCAATCTGATACACCTCTTTCAGGACCCCCTCAACATTCTCCATTCCAAAGAGAGCAACCCGAGCTTATCCAGTCTCTTTTCGTCGCTAAAGTGCTCCATCCCAGGCAACATCCTCGTGAATCTCGTCTGTAACCCCTCCAGTGCTAAGACATTCTTCTTATTGTGTGGTAACCAGAACTGCACACAGTACAGTAAACCCAGCCCAACTGAAGTCTTTAACATAACCTCCCTGCTCTTATAGTGTATGCCACGAGTGATAAAGGCTAGCATCCCATATGCCTTCTTAACTACCCTATTAACCCATGCTGTCACCTTCAGGGTTCTGTGACCAAGCACCCTGATATTCCTTTGTCCTCTGAACCACCTAGTGTCTTGCCATTCATTGGCTACTCCCTTGGCTTTTTCCTTTTTCCAAAGTGCATCAACTCATATTTATCAGGCTTAACTTCCACCTGCCACTGATCTGCCCATCTGACCAATCCATTTATATCCTCCTGTCACCCAAGATCCTCACTGTAAACCACCTGGCCAATCTTCATGTCAACAACAAACTTACTTACCATCCCTTCCACATTCTCTTCGATATCATTTACAAATATCACAGTCCATAAGGGACCCAGGACTGATCCCTGTGGTATGCCCAGCACACAGGGCTCCAGTCACACAGACAGCCTTCTAGCACCGCCCTCTGTTCCCATCACTTTGGATCCATCTTGCCAAGTTACCCTGGATCCCATGAGCTTTTACCTTCTTTATCAGTTTCCCATGTGGGAAGTATGGATTGGGACTGTGCAGTATCGGCTGTGATTCAGTGGAGAGCACTCTCAGCACTGAGTCAGAATGTTTGAGCTCAAATTTTAATCCAGAAGCTAGTGTACAAAATCCAGACTGACACTTCAGTTCAATACCAAGGGAGCACAGTATTGCAGAAGTTAACATCTTTCAAATAATGACTTAGAGCTGACTCATTCTTCTAAACTCTTAGATGTAAAAGTCCCCAGGATAATATCTGAAGAAGATAAAAAGTGTAATGTTTATCCCAAGACCAATGCTAGTAAGCAACATTGTATTCTTTCATTCATTCATGGGGATGTGGGTATCCCAGCATTAATTGCCCAGAGGGCAGTTAAAAGTCAACCAAACTGCTATGGATCTGGAGTCACATACACCAGACCAGGTAAGAATGGAAGGTTTCTTCTGTAAAGAACATGAGTCAACCAAGTGAGTTTTCCCCCAATAATTTCAGATTCATCATTACACTGTTAATTCCAAATTTTATTGAATTCAAATTCCACCATCTGCCATAGCAGGATTCAATTCCCAGCCCCCAGAACATTATCGGGGTTTCTAGATTATTAGTCTACTGGTACGACCACCAGCTATCACCTCCCAATTAATGTATTTGATTACCTTTTGTTTGAAGAGAAAGGGAGAATTGCAGGGTTATGAAGAAAGATCAGGGGAATGGAATTTTGGCTATTTCTTTTGAACAGCCAACGCAGATACAATTGTGCTTCTGTGCTGCTTCGTTCTATGATTGTTGTGTGGGCCCTCGTCCTGTGCAAATTAAAGGCTGCATTTCCATCCATTAAAACACTAAATCCACTTTAAGAACTCTTTGGATGTGATTAAAGGTGCCAAGTAAATGCAAGTTCTTTCTTAAGACTGCCAGAAAGGTTGGAAAGTTTGCAGAGAAAGCAATGTACCTGCATATCTGACTTTGCTTAAGCTGGATATAAAGTCGCTGTAGTACGTGTTTTCGAAGTGACCATCCTGAGAAAAGACCAAATTCCAATCAGAAAATCACAGATGGACACATCCCTGCCACACAAGCCCGGTGACTGTTTCATTGTTGTGCTTCAACTTACATTTCTACAGCATTTCTGATATCTCGAAGGGCTTTGACAGAGTGAAATAGATGCATAGCAAGAGGAAGCAGGGGCAGGGTTGTGGAGGAAAGCTGGATGGGGAACTTGGAAGAGGACGATTTGGAAGAATATTTGAGGAGATCTTTGAAAATGGCCTCAATATTGTAGCAATAAATAACTTTGTGTTATTCGGGTCTGTGATCTGCTTTCTCCTTCTGGAAGATTTCTTCCATGTTGTATGATTCTGGAATGTGAGTACACTAGAACCTTCATTACCTGTCTTCCCATTAGCTTCACTCTTCTGTCACAAGTGGATTTCCAGTGTAAGAAACTGTACTTTTCTTTAAAAGGCTTATAAAATCAAAGGACAACTTGCATTTATGTAGTGACTCCAAAGTAATAAGCATCCAATGCATATCACAGGAGCATTATCCATCAGAATCAGACATCAAGTCGGAAAAAGAGACATTGGGACAAGTGATCAAAAGTTTGATTGAAGAGGTAGGTTTTAAGAAAGAAGAAAGAGTTAGAGAGGCGGAGAGGTTTGGGGATGGAATTGCACAGTTTTAGGGTCTTGATAGCCAGATACACAGCTATCTCTGAAATCTAATGAAAGGGGTGAAGGAAATCAGGGATCAACAAAATGTCAGACTTGGAGAAATGCAGAATTCCCAGCGGGTTATGGTGCTAGAGAAGGTTACAGAAAAATAAACAGCAAGAGTCAAAAACAAGGGTGAGAATGTTCAATCTTGAGACGTAGCTGGACCCTGCAAATAATATGGGTGAGCACATTCAGGAATGAGAGGTGAAGAGGACTTGGTGCAAGTTAATTTATAGGCAGCAGGATGGGATTTTTTTTTTGGACGATGTTTGCTTATGGTTCCTGCTGAAAGAAGATTTGGAGATTGTCAATTACCTGTCAATTTTTATTATCTAACAAAAGAGGTGCTCTTTCAATAATGAATGTTCCACCTTAATTGATACAGGTGGATTGCAAGTCTGCTTAAATAGGAAATAGTGAAGATGTGTCTCATTGACAGCATGGCAGTGAATCAGTAACAGCTTCGGTTCCAATCTTTTTTTCCAACCATGCACTTTTATTGCTCTGTGATAAATCCAATCAAGTTGCAAGCTCACTAAGCCAAATATGGACTCCTGATTCACTCAGGTGCAGTTTTAAGTTGGAAGTAGACTTCCTAATTGACAGATAAAACAATTCAAGATGCACTTAATTAGCAAGTTGATCCCACTAATTAAGAATAGGGACAAAACCCAGCAGTAACCAGTTTTCTTCAAGTTGACTCCAATGTAATCTACTGCAGTCCCATGTGAAATCATGATTAAAATTCAGTGCAGGAGTCACTGACCCCTTTCAATGTATCTTCTTAATTGCACACATACAACCTCGGGCACTTCACAACACAAAATGCAGAAAGAATGCATGCATCACTGCAGAATTCAATTCAGGCTAAACAAGCAAGCTTACAGTCCAAACTGAACTTGTCCTAGTTTGGGGATTATCTGGAAGTTTTTTTATGAACCCCTCACATTCTCCTGCTCCCATCCTTCTTCTTCGTCAGAGTCCATTCTCTGAATGGAGGGGAAGTAATTTGCTCTCCCAACCTGCCAATGGTACCCCACCACCTCATTTCCCACTGTGGCACTGCTACATGGCATCTTCAGTGACCTATACAGTTAATAATGAACATTCACCCTGGGTTTGATGAAGGTTTACGTTTGTAACTTCCACCCATCTTTTCCTGGCCAGAAATTGACAGATCCATTGGGCGCTGGCAGCATTTTTTCTATTTTGATGGCTCGTCAGGATTTGTGCCTGAGTTTCATTATTCTGTGTCAGTCAAATGTGTTTGGTTTGGAATTAGGACTGACATTTTGATACTTATCCAGTCCTAACCATCCTACACTTCACTAACATCAGCGGTAATGCCAGTGCCATTTCTGCATCTTATGTCATGAAGCACCCTCACAATGCAAAATAAATGATATCAACCCTTTGTGTAATTAATTACAGCTTTTTCTAATCTACTAGACTCAACTGAAGAGTAGTCTCAGAGACTTGAGGTTATATGATTTGTATGACCGTATGCAACATGCACTCTTTAGCAACCTTAACTCAATCACGCTAGCCTTTCCAACAGTTTATATGTTTGGCTTGTCTTGTTGAAGCTATTCCCTTTTATGAATTAACATGCAATTTACCTTCAGTTCTGTTCCTTAGTACACTGTTGGCTTGAGTTGACTCTGTTGTCCTTCCACATGGAGGATAATGGCCCTCAGCGTTAACAGATCCACAGAGAGAAGTGACTCCCACAGACAGAAGTCAGTCTCTGTGGAGGACTTTGGAAGGAAGAAGCATCTTTCCAAATTTCGACACAATACATTAAAGAGCCATGCTATTAAATAGTGATCCTGTATTCCTTCCTCAACCAATAGTGACCAAAAACAGTTTGTTTAACCATTCTTTGAGGGTGTTTTTAGCAAAGTATTTGGTACAGTATGTCACTGCATTTCAAAGCTTGAAGCACTTCAACCTAATTCAATGGGATAAAACGCAATGGGTTTTATGGCACTGTCAGTAACTTCCCTGCCTCTGAAATGGAAGCTCCATGTTGAAGTACCAGTCCAGGCTGTGGAAAGTGGATTTATAATGTGGTCAAACAGGCTGAGTATTAACATGTGATCCTGCTAATAGCCAGGCTGTTGGCAGGTGGTTAAAAATAGGAAAGGTTTTTGGTCAGCTATGTAATGGAAAGAAAGTAAAGCTTCTGCCAGTACTCTCTGTAAATCCTGGCTACAACAAGTGTGTAAAAGTGAATGTTACCACAGTAATTCCAACTCTGATGTGGGAGCAGATAGCTCAGTTGGTATGACAGCTGATGTGAACTAGATTGATAGGTTTGTTACCTGCCCCTTGTCCTATCCATAGTGGAGATCATGGAGCTATCCATCAGATCTGCCATCCAACACAAAAGTCAAGAATAAGGTGCTGTGTAATTAAAATCAAACCAGCTTTTAACCAGTAGAGATCCCAATGACGTTCTCCCAGTAAATGTCACTGAGGGATTGACTTACACAATAAAAGATGATTGCACCAGTTGCTACACACTTTTATACTCACTAACCCAATGGGGACTGCTCAGTATATCATGGTGCTCTTTCAGCTAGAAATCCTGATGGTCACCTGGTTAGGATGCCAGTGCCTGTGCTAAAAAGTTAGAGCCTGAATTTTATTGTCTTACCGGTGTCGCATTTGCATGACTTCCCTTGAACCATACCTCATAGAAAAACGCGAGCACGGCCAATCCATCTGCTTTATCAGAAGCTTCCAAGAAGCTGCTGTATTTGTCTGAATTATAGTGAACAATATGCAGCTGAAAAACAAAATTTTTAAAAAGGTATCAATCCATTGCAGTCCACTCTTTTCAGTCGTGATGTTTGAACATATTACATGGCGTACTGGTACGTAAGATAAAGGTCACTATAGTCTTACCAGATCATAGGGCTGCTCTCTCATTAGAGAAAGACGACTGGTGGTGGTTTAACCTGAGGGTCAACACGCCTCAGATGAGGGGAGTTGTTGAGAAGAGCAATCCTTCATAGTAACGTCTGCAAATGCTGTTGGTGTCGCTCTGCTTTGGAAATCATCTGTCCAGCTAATGAGTCACAAACCACAGTGTGGATTTGAAGGTCTGAATAGTCTTCTTTTGTGCCACAATGGCTCTATACTGCATAGCAGCCAGGAACATCCCAACTCCAATTTGCTTACTGAAGAGATCTGGGAGTCTAGGGTGTACAATGTGTACAATGTGAACACTGGGTGAGGTCAGGGTTGGTATGATTAGCTGCTGACACAAAGAATAGTCACTGGAATGAGTTCAGGTGGTAGGAGTACACACCTGTACAGCTTAACCCACTAGCATTGGGCAATAAGTGGGGAGAATTACAATGTCAAAAATTATGATCCCCAGCGGTGTAATGGAAAGCTAGTGAAGCCTCTACCAGCACCATCTGTACCTCTTGGCTACAATGTGGTAATTCAGGTGGGGGAGTGGCTGGCTCAGTTGGTAAGACAGCTGCTGTGAACTTGGTGTTAACAGCAAGGGGGACGATTCCTGTTCCAGGTGGGGTAGATTTGTTACCTTCCTCCTTACCCTATCCACGGTGGAGCTATCCACATGGGTCAGATTTGCCTTCCAACAGAGAACTCAATAACTGGGTGCTATGCAATCAAAATCAAACCAGATGATGTCTTTCTACAAACAAGTAGGTTATTCACCAACATTTTAGGAAATTAAATTTGTATTCTTTGCATTTAAGGTTAGAGTATAACACTGGCTACAGTTCACACATTGTCAGTCTAAATTTTATAGAGCGGGCATATGTGTATTGTTTGCCAAATCCTGGTAAAAAGGTGGGTCAGCAGCTCACCGATTTAGTTGATACTACGTTGAGGGTGTTCTTAACAATGTGTGAATGGGACTTTCTCCCCTCATGGACAAGAGGTCCTGCTCATGAGAGATGCAGCCAATCTGGCTGGGAGCTGAGTAGTCCCAGCAGTGCCAGAATTAAGTAGTGGCCACTGCTGGAACTACAATCAAGTCAAAAGAAGATCAGCTGGGAATTAAGGACCCTCATGAGGATGGAGTGGAGGAGATTGTTTAACGATGCGAGGTATTAGGGAGACAAAGGGATAGTTACCATCTTGGGTGGCCACAGAGAACATTTCAAAGGAGGTACTCCCCATTCATTCAATCTTTTAACCCAAGTTGAAGTTCTACCTTGCCCCACTCTTATATGGTGGCAGAGATGGATTCAGGCCCCTGAGTGGTCTTAATTAGCCACAAGGCCTTCAAAACGCCGAATAGTGGACAGGCTGATGCCTTAACCTCCACCCTGCCTCACCATGATATGGGCTAGGACAACTAGAGGGTGGCTGGGAAGGCAATGGGATGGCCACCTGTTTTATATCACAGGCCCCCACTCAGCCTTCAAATATGGCAGCCTCTGCAAAAATCTCATATTCTGAGGTAGGGTCATAGACTTTAGACAGTTCTGTGGTACTTACAGAAGTAGTTATTCAGGAAATGTTATACTTTCAACTTTTTGAGTCCACCCCCTATCCCAAATACCCAATCCCAGGATCCAGACTACTCCCAACTCAACCTGACTATCCCATCAGTGAATCCCTACCATGCAGAAAGAGGCCATTTGGCCAATCGAGCCTGCACAGAACTTCTACAGAGTATCCCACCCACACCCACCCAGACCCATCCCCCGCCCTATCCCAGTAACCCTGCATTTTCCATGGTCAATTCATCTAGCCAGCACATCCTTGGGTACTATGGGGCAATTTAGCATGGCCAATCCACCAAGCCTGCACATCTTTGGACTGTGGGAGGAAACCGGAGCACCCGGAGGAAACCCACACGGACACGGGGAGAATGAGCAAACTCCACACAGACAGTCACCCAAGGTTGGAATTGAACCCAGGTTCCTGGTGCTGTGGGGCAGCGGTGCTAACCACTCAGCTGCCATGCCTAAAACCTAACACTTAACTCTAATTCCTCTAACCCCTTGAATACACAACTGACCCTCTTCCAAACAAATACCAACCTGACCCAATTACACCTGCCAACCATGCCTAGAACCTTCCCCTGACCAGACTTACCAAGCAACAGATCTGACTACTCTTTGCAACCTGATCCAGAATCTCTCAAACCCCACCTCCCACTCACCTACTTATCCATATGCTACACTGCCTAGCTCCCACCTGACCACTACCACCCTGCTCGCCTGCAACCATATCCTCCTACCTCACCTACCCTATCCACTTACACCTTACCCAATCCCCTGCCCATTCACTCATACATCCATTCACCTAGTCACTAATGTTCACACTGTGGACATTTACACTTACAGCAGCTACAACTCTGCAATGGGGCTCTTTGTAGGATTATTTGCTCGCTTTAGAAGCCTGGTTTGAAAGACCAAGCAAGAACTGCGGAGCCATGTCTAGATTTTGAGCAGAGTGGCAAACAAACAGCTATCCGGGCTCATAGTCCACTAGACCATTTAGCAGATACCTAATTTGCTCAAATTATAGACAGGAGAATATCAACCCTTTTACAGGAAGGCCAAACAGGTATCATCTGGTTATATTTAAAATCAATCAATACATATTTTATTCAACATTTTACTTATTAACTGGCTTGTGTTTTAAAACAAAATAATGAACAGATTGCACTCTCAATGCTACTGGGAAAACTAATACTTGCAATATTGCAAGATGTTTGTTTCGATTGCACCTTGCCAGTGGAATTGCAAAGATTGATTTGCATTTCTGCAGTTCTATTCACAGTCTCCAGATATCACAAAGTACACCACAGCCCACGCTGTTTTCTTGAAATAGTTACTGCTGAAATGTAGATGAAATTGGCTGTAAGTTTAGGGTATTCTCTATACCTCTGCCACATAGCGGATGCCATCAATTGTATGCTCTGAGCCACTGCTCTCCAGGTCAAGGCCACCCCAGTGGAAATGCATCTGAACCGCTGTGTAACGACTTGGCAACCCTTTGCTGATAAACATGGAGGGTGGCAAGTTTATTGCAACTATGAAAGCAGAATGCACAAGGTTACACGTTAAAATGTGTATCTTCCTCAGAGCATTGCTCAATAGTTTTAAAATCATGAACCATATCGATGCACAAACTATTAATTTTTAACTATATACAGCAGGTATAAAACATATATTCCCATGAAATGTGTTGAACACAGTACTGACAGCTAATTATTATCTTTGTAAGTTTGCATATTGAATTTTAAGCACTGTATTGTAACTACAGTGCCTCAGAATTACTTCCATAAACACAATGGATTTAATGACAATGCCTATTTATGTGGTGCCTTTAACATGGAAAATGACTTATGTCTCTACACAAAGAAGCAGATATCAGGTAAAAGCTGGAGATTTAGGGGGGAAACATCAAGGGCAGATCGAAAGGGAATGTACTTAAAGATTGAGATGAAGGCAGCAGAAGCAAGGGTTCAGGGAGCAAGATCCACAAAATTAGATGCAGAGGGTTGAAGGTTCAGACACCAAAAATGGGGCAGAGCGAGCTAGGTAGCACATGAAACAATTCCATGGAGAATTATCAGAGCCAAAGCCGTTTCACAGATCCATTTGTCAGCAGAGGTTACAAGAGATCATTGAGGAGTAGGAACCCAGGCTTATTAATTCCATTCAAGGGACACAAAAGCTAAAGGCAGTACTCAATAGGAATAAATCACTTGGGTGAAATGCAAGGGGCTGCCCCATCTTTGGAAAATAGCATCAGCAAGAGGCAAAACCTCCTTAATAAGGATTGGGAAAATTAAGGAAATGATATACTAGACAATCAATTATAGGTATAATTATTTCAGGAAATTTAAAGAAAAGGTCATGTCATTGATAAAACGTAGAATGAAAAGATGCGAGACCTGAATGTCCATTATTGATCATCAGGAATGGTCCCTCGTGTGGTCCATCATATCCAATTAACTCCAAATGGGGTAGAGTCATATTAAACTTCACTTTTTTCCTCTGAATATCGATTGGAGATTGGTGCAAGCCAATGCAAGCTGGATACTTCAAACCCCAAACAGCTTCATTCAAGTCTCCTTCTAGTAAACATGTAAAGGACAGAGAAACTCAGTAAACACCTTCACACCCATTTACTGTCAAACTCTTACCTTGCATTCCACATTTTTTCACTCGCAGAAATTTCTTACAACTTTATATCTAAGTACCAAATTAATTTTCCAGGTCATCATTCCTCCTCCAATCCATGCATTCTGGTTGAAAATGAGGACAATTATTGCTGAGCTAAATTTTGTGTGAAATTAAATCATAGATATAGTGAGCATTTTATTTACCTTGATAGCTCCAGTGCTCCTTGTTAGCAATACCTGACTGCATGCAAAGCAGGATAAAAATTCCCAAAGCAAACTTCCTCAAATCCATGTGCCTGGGACAGAAATTATACTACACGCTAGTCAATTGCAGTCCTGCACACAGACTGATAGTCAGGAGGTCATCAGTCCTAGACAGACCAGAGTACACTACTGATGCTCCAATTAACATGCTAGTATGTAGCCTGGGTGCAGCAAATCATCTGTTCAAATTACAAATTTTGGATTCATCTTGGTTGCATGAAGCAGTCATGAGTGTTATCTTTTTTTAATTAAATCTATGCTTCAGAACATGGGTCACGACAACATTAGTGAAATTGAAACCCATTTTAATTAAAACCGTTAGAGGTAAAGTTGCCCATTTTTACTCCTTCAATCTGCAGTTTGAGTGGGCTGCTGAGGAAATTTCTCAATGGTAAAAAGGACCTTTTTTTTAAAAAAGAAGCATGGATTCCTTGCTCCATATCTGGGTGCTAACGGAGTTGCAAGAGAATTTCTTTGGGGGTCTATCTTGTGACAGACAGCTGCAGATTTGTAGTCAGCGTCATTGGCATTTTTTACATGACCAAAATGGGCTGAAAGAGCCACAAGAAAGGTTACAATCAACAGATGCCGCCAAGGACAGTTTTGGAGTCGGAGAAAGGAGACACTACTAGTTACAGAATTTCACTTGGGGGAAAAGTATGCTTACACGACACAAACAAAATTAACTTAACTGGATGTAAAGGAGACCATTGAGCATCTGTAAAGAGAAGTGGCAAACTAACATTTTGTGGTTAAGATCTTTCAACAGAATTTATTGATAATTGGAATGAACTCCCTAAGGAAGTGGTGGATGTGGGTACAATCACAATGTTTAAAAGACATTTGGATTAGTACATGAATAGGAAAGGTTTGGAGGGATACGGGCCAAGTACAGGCAGGTGGGACTAGTTCAATTTGGGATTATGTTTGGCGTGGACTGGTTGGACCGAAAGGTCTGTTTCTGTGCTGTATGACTCTATGACTCTAAAAGCAGGTCCCTGAATAAAACTGAATGTTAAAAAATCAGGAGGAGAATAGCTGAGAACAGCCGTGAATTATGAATATTGACTCCCTGCAAAGAGATTGGGCTGTGGATTAAAGATATTTCTTTGCATCCTTATCTGTTTCTCATTCATCCTACAAAGGGGTCAGCTTATTGTTTAGGACATTCCTAGAAAATATTATTCTGTTTCCTTCATTTGACAGGTGCTGTGCTTTTGTAAATTTCCCACTGGAAACCATGTGTACATGTTAATCGTGGCATCAATGTGGGGATCTATTTTCTGCCGTTGTGGTCCCTAGGTACTACAGAATTTTGAAGCTTTTAAATAAAAGCTGTTTATTTCATTTCAGTTTTCTTTCCACTGGGACTGTTACAAAATTACAAGTAACACTTACATATCACAAAGCAGCACTTTCGTGGTATTTCCTAGTTATAGAGCCATAGCCACACAGCATGGAAACAGACCGTTCGGTCCAATCAGACCAAACTCTATGTCTCTGTGTTCTCCACTACCAAAGGCCTTACTTTTAATTGTGTAAGCCCTGCCCTTGTTTGTTTTAGCAAAATGCAATATCTCACATTTATCCAAATTAAACTCCAGCAGCTACTCTTCAGCCCATTGACCCAACTGATCAAGATCTCTTTGTAATCTTAGGTAAACTTCTTCACTGTCCACTATATCACCAATTCTGATGTCATCTGCAAATGTACTAACCATTCCTTCCATATTCTTATCTAAACTATTATTGAGTCTGATGTCCCTTTTTTGCCTTTTTTTCATTTAACACAGATTTTCTCTGCTCTGTGTGGGTGGACACAACAGAGGTTGGTGAACAGCTTAGTCTTCAGCAGCTATTGCGGGTTGTGAGAGGTAGTTTAGATATAATTTTAATTCCAAAGTTACCAGAAAAATCTCCTGCCCTTATTTAACACTCTCCAAATCTAAAAAGGGGCACATAAGCAGAGGGAGCTTGGCAGTAGGTGTACAAAGGTGTGTAGATTGGCAGGGTGGTTTGAGAAAGCAGAATATGGAATCCTAGGCTTTATAAACAGGGGCATGGAGTGAAAAAGCAAAGTGTTTTCGATGAACTTGTACAAAACACTGGTTCAGCCTCAGCTACAATATTGTATTCAATTCTGGGGCCCCACACTTTAGAAAGGATGTGAAGACTTTAGAAAGGGTGCAGAAAACTTTCATTATTGTTTCATGGATATGAAACTTTATAACTTGCGTGGATTGGAGAAGCTGAGTTGTTCTACTTAGGAAACGGAAAATTTAAAAGGGATTTTGATCAAAGGGTTCAAAAGCATAAGGGGTCTGAACAAAAGACGAAGAAACTGTTACATTGGCAGAAGGGTCAGGAACAAGAATACACTGAGTTAAGGCATATGGTGAAAGCAGCAGCATGACATGAGGTGGAATTTTTTTACTCAGCAAGAATCTCTAATGGAATGCCTAGGAATAAAGAGGAGGCTGATTCAATTATGGTTTTCATAAAAAAAAACTGATTTAATCCCTATAGTGTAGATGGAGGCCAGTCAGCCCATCAAGTCTGCACCAAACTTCCAAAAAGCAACCCACCCAAACCCAGACCCCTATGGCCCCACATTAACCATGGCTAATCCGCTAGACCTAGACACTGTGGGGAAGTTTAGGGTGGCCAAACCCCCTAACCTGCTCATCTTCGTACTGTGGAAGGAAACTGGAACACCCAATGGAAACCCACGCAGACATGAGGAGAATATACAAACTCCACACAGTCACCCAAGGCGGGAATCAAATTCAGGCCCCTTGAACTGTGAGGCAGCAGTGCTAACCACCGTGCCACCGTTGGATAACCATGTGAATGGAAAAATAATCAGAACAGGGAAATGGCAGGAATTGTAACTGGGTGAGTTGCTCTTGCGGAGAGCTGGTATAAGAATAAAGGGGTGAATAGGCTCCTTCTTTCTGTAACCATTCTATGATCCTAAATACTACAGCTAAGGTGAGCTGGAAAATAAATCAAAGCTGCACCCCTATCTGCTGTGTAAATGAGAAGTAAGAACAAATGATCCTGAAACAGGATTGCAAAGAAAAACAAGTGTCGCCTCTCCGTAGCAGTGAAAAGTGAGAGAGTGAAATGTTTCTGATAAAAGATTTTGCAAGTATATAGCAAGATCTTTTATGACCTTGGAGCATCCCAAATCTCTTCACGGAAAATGAAGCATTTTTGGAAGTGAAAGTTGCTGTTGTGATGTAAGAAATGTTATTTTATTATTGTTTGAGAACTACTGAAGATAATGTTGCTTGAAAAATTGGTCAGAAATATAATGACTGGATGTTCCTGGGAAGATAAGCGAGTGTTTGTACGTGAGCCCATTGGCTAAACCATGTGACTGTCAGGAAAGCTCCTTTGTGTTGAAAGTATTCCTTTGCGGTCCCTTTGCCAATCACATTTCCACTGGTGTCTGTTCACCTGAGACATCAAGAGAGTGTCATTCAGGATACAAAGAACCTCGTTTATTACTTTTGATCCTGTCCTAATACCAGCTATTCATGAGATTATTATTCCAGTCTTCTGGTAAGGAAATCATAATTAATTCTGCAAAATCAGAAAACCAACACAGACCAATTGTTCCAAAAAAAGATGCAGGGCAGCTCTTCTTGGCCAACATTCAACCCTCAGTCAAAGTCACTAAAACAGATTGGCTGGTCCCTATCTGTTACTGTTTGTGGGAGCCTGTGTGCACTAACTGACTGCCATATTTCCTATATTATAAAGTAACTAACACTTCAAAAGTACTTCATCAGTTGCAAAGTGTTTTGGTGTGGAGGTGCTGGGGTTGGACTGGGGTGGAAAAGTCAGAAGTCACACAACACAACAGCTGCTCTGAAAGCTTGTGATTTAAAATAAACCTGTTGGACTATAACCTGGTGTCGTGTGAGTTCTGAAAGTGTTTTGGGAAATCTTGAACTCATGAAAGCTGGTTCATAAATGCAGATGACACAGCAAGGAGCTGGAGGAACACAGCAGACCAGGCAGCATCAGAGGAGCAGGAAAGTTGACATTTGGAGTCGGGACCCTTCTTCAGATTTTCTGAAGAAGAGTCCCGACCTGAAATTTCAACTTTCCTGCTCCTCTGATGCTGCCTGGTCTGCTGTGTTCCTCCAGCTCCACACTGTGTTATCTCTGACTCCAGCATCTGCAGTTCTTGCTATCTCTGGTTTATAAATGCATATCTTTTTTTGTGTGTGAGAATCTTACATTTCACGTCGTCATTTGGTCATTGGTTTTCAGTTTTGATGTATGAAAGGTTCATTGGAAGGACAGCACAGTTTGATCAGAGGACATTTATTTAATTTAACAGCTATAGCAACAGGGCTGTGATCTAATGTAACTCAATCTATTCTTGCTGTCCATGCCTTTATCTATTTTGTTAAACAAAATCAATACTAGTGTTCACTGGTGTGAGGACTATTTGCTGCAGGGCTGAAACAAACTGTCTATTGAGGTAATGATTAGTCAGTGTAAAATTCCATCTCAGAGAAAATGAACTTCATGAAGGACATTCAGCACAAGTGAAGAATTTATATTGAATAATATTAAACTGCAATAAGGTCCTATCAGAATATAATGGCGGCTGGATGAGGTTTTAAATGCAGCACTTTTAATGTTGCTGAATATTTATTTTTG